CCAAAAGTGTGAAAACCATTTTTTAAATGAATATTTAGTGTGTGTGAGGGGGTGTGTGGAAGTGTGAGGGGTTTTATTGAGTTTTTGAATTATAAAAGTACTCCAAAAGTGTGAAAACCATTTTTTAAATGAATATTTAGTGTGTGAGGGGTTTTGTTGAGTTTTTGAATCATAAAAGTACTCCGAAAGTGTGAAAACAATTTTTCAAATGAATATTTAGTGTGTGTGAATGTGTGAGAGAGAGAGGGTTTTATTTATAAAAGTACTCCTAAAGTGTGAAAATCATTTTTTGAAATAAATATTTAGTGTGTAAGGGTGTGCGTTGGGATATGAGTGAGGGTGTTTGTGAAAGTGTGTGAGGGGGGTTTATGTGAAAGTGTGTGTGAGGTGATATGTGGAAGTGTGTATGACGATGTATGTGTGTGAGGGATTGTGTTCGTGGGGATGTGTAAGTGTATGTGTGTTTGGGGATGTGTTTGTGTAGCACGCAAGATACAAACAGACCAGAATGAGGAATGTTCCTCCTAACGAAAATCAAGTAGTTTTCATAAAAGAGCTCTAAAACAAAAAAAATGGGAAGAAAATAATGCATTCAACTTTTGGCAACATCGGTAATAGCTAATAAAGGACAATGAATCTGTCGCCTGTATGAGATAAACAAAGATGACTTATTTCAGAGGCGTGCTGTTCTGTTTACTTATGTTCCAAGTTCCGAGACATTCTGTGACATATCACATTTTGTGCACCTAACCTATCTTCCTCTATATAAATAAATAACAAAACAACTGTTGTTTATGTTGCTTGTGGAGATGGTATCGAACTGTAATTTATATTTTGCCTTAATTGTTGATTTATAAAGATAATTTTTCTTTTTTAAAATAGAATATAAATTAAAACCCAACATTTGAAACATCAATTTGAATACTTTTCGAAGTGAATTTGAAAAACTCATGAATTAAACTCAACTTTAATTTGTTCAAACTTGCATTTGCAGTAATAATCCAAATTGAGGAACATTCCCCATTCTAAAATCATTGTTTTAGGTCTCATTATTTCATTATATGTACTTATTTTATAATGAAAATTCGAACAATAATGTTGTTGAATAATTGAATGATCCTAACCATAAAATCATAAGGTATACAGACAAACGTTCTTGGTGATAATTCCATGTATTCCTGATTTTTGAGATTTTAAAAAGATACTTTTTATTCTACAGGTGTTGTCTGTGGCTGTCTACAATCATTATAAAAGAATATACAACAATAATCCAAATCAATCTAATAATTCAAGGCAAGATATGGCGGTAATGGAACAGGGCCCACACAACATTACACATAGAGGTATGTTTTGGAAAACTTTATCACACATTCGTTTGAAGATTTGATTTGATGGTCTTTTAATTCCCTCTTATAGTTCGTCAAATCTCTGGAAGAGATACCTTTTTCATGTAACGTAGTGAAACTTATTTTCAAACAGTTTTATAATTTTTCTGAAAGTTGTATGCTTCATACTAGTTTATATCTAAGTCACTAGTGAGTTATGACAAATATAAAGTTGAGTATGTGGTGCTCAATAAAAATATATTTTTCATTGAAGTGAAACACATCTTGGAAAGGTGTATCAAAAAATATCCCACTTTCTGTCAATATTTAGTTCCATAAACTCAGTTGTGGTCCCTGTTACGAACATTTATATTTCTTGGGGCCAATAAATGAGATTATTTGACGTATTTCACAGTAGATTTATTATTACGGTAATGAATAAATATGCTTGTTTTGTGTAATAAGCGAAATATTACAAAGGACATAATACTTCATTTCAATTGATCAGATCAACCTCATATCACCGGCTTAGGAAATGCATCCTTGGGAATGAGTTTTGGAACGGTAGATTCGTCGAGAACATCCCAATCTTCTACTGGTTCGGACATATTGGATAGAACAGCACACGAACTGAAGTTGGAAAAAAGCAATATTTTATTACTGGGACCTACTGGATCAGGTAACAAAGTATTTTGATATTTTTTTGCTTAAGATGAGCAAACATATTATCACTCTTCCAAGACAAAATTTTCCTGGTCGAGTCCATACTCTAAACTAGTCAGTTTTTTTTGTTTTAACATTTTTCTAGTACCATACATATGAGAAATAGAAATAAAATTGGAAAAAGAGAAAAAAATATATGACTCTTGTTAGACGATGCATAGTCTTTTATCTTTTCTTCTGTTGCAACTCTCTTCACTCTGTATAAATAAAGCCATACTTTTCGCTTTGGTCCTGAGAACTCGGAAATATCATTGCTAAGACTTGTGCCAATATTCTTTTTGTATACTTTATTTTGTTTGTTTCATTTTCAATATTTGACTTCAACGAAATTATCATTGTTGTCGTTTGGATTATTATAGGTTATGGGTCCACTGTTTGGATTGTTATTGTTTACGCTTGTTTTGGCGGCAATATGTCCATAGGTTGGCTTTTGTAGTATTTTTTTTAGTTGCGCCATCTGCTCGCCAGGTACTAAATCACTTCGTTGGACATTGCATTGATGTTGAGTTTATTTTATTCCAGCTTTCTGTGTCTGGGTTACTTTCATATGACGTTCCTTGTCCGGCATGCGAATTGTTTATGTTTACGTTTTTTACACCTTTATTACTCTCCTCTGGTTTATGATTTCTTCTATTATTTTTTTCAAATATCGCCACTTTATCTAGCAATAAACTATATTGAACATTAATAACATTGTTTTTGTCTCTTGTTTCTTCTAGTAATTCTTTCAAATACCTGATTTCTAGTAGCAGCATTTCTTTTTCACTCTCGTTGCTTCCCTTTTGATTTTGTATGTTCTCAGTTTTTTCACAGCATATCACTTTGTTTTCCGATAATACCTTCAATTGTTGGTTCCTTCTCGCACAACTTTTATGATAAATCGCGAATCAGTTTATACAAACCTTTACTCCACATTTTTTGTTCTCACAGCACTTCATAAAGTGTTCAATCTCCGCTTTTTCAGAGCTGTCCGACAATACATCTTCATTGTCGGCCATCTTGTTTGGTCATCAGTTCAAAAAAATATCGAAATTATCTAGAGATTAACAGTTATGAGAAAAATAAACAGTCAATTCGGGTTGAAATGAATGCCTTTTCAACGTACATATCAATGGAGAATTTGAAACTTTATTTGAAATCATGATGAAAATTCAAAATATTTTCATGATGTAGAAAAACTCAAAGTTGTCTCCACAATTTAATATCACCCTCACATGTTTCGAACCTATAAGGGTTCATCATCAGCTAATTATTGACAAATTCTACAATAAATAATTAGCTGATGATGAACCTATACAGGTTCGAAACATGTACTGATTGATGGTTTTACTGTTCTAACATCTGAGGGTTATATTAAATTGTGGAGACGTCTTTGAGTTTTTCTGCATCGTAAATCTACTACACTCCACTTCGAGATATAATGGAGTTTTACCACAGGTCAAAATATTTTGTTTTTCAGGTAAAACGCTTCTAGCTCAAACTATAGCTCAGTGTTTAGATGTGCCTTTTGCGATTTGCGATTGCACCACTTTGACTCAGGCTGGGTACGTAGGAGAGGACATTGAAAGTGTGATTGGAAAACTACTTCAAGATGCTGGATACAGCGTGGAGAAGGCTCAAGTTGGAATTGTGTTTTTAGATGAAGTTGATAAAATTGGCGCAGTTCCCGGGATTCATCAACTTAGAGATGTTGGAGGTAAAGTGTTAGTATTAAAGATACTTTTTTATGTTTGGCATANTTTTAAACTTATAACAACAAATGTAATGATCTTTTTTCTATTTCACAATCATTTTTACTCTTTTATATACATTTTTCATACATATTTTACCATACTTTGCCGATAACACTAATCTTAGACAATAAAGTATACCTAAGTAAGTAATAAAATAAGGTATGTTCAAAAAATAAGTGTCTCAAAACGACGTCCTTTGATGGATCTTTTCAATCTTGGGAACAGGAAAAAGCCGCAGGGGGCCAAATCTGGTGAATACGGTGGCTAAGGCATGATTTCAAATCACGAACAAGCAACAACGAGTCAGCAGGTAATCGAAAAAAAGAAACAGTGAACAAAACCTTGACATTCAATCGAACTTGGCGTCCTTCTATTGGTCTTGGCTCTCCCAGGCTCTTCCATTGGGACGATTGGACATTGGTTTCGATGTCATAACCATATACCTATGATTCATTATGACTCTTTCAAGCAAATTTGGATCGCGATCCAAATTCCTGAGCGATGCTCAAACGATGGTTTTTTTGGTCAAAATTTAGCCAATTTGGAACGAACTTTGATGCCATATGCTACATGTCCAAAATTTCCAAAAAAAAATGCATGGCATGAGCCGACCGATATGCTGACATCCTCAGCAAGTTCTCTAATATTGGTTCGACGATTTTACACAACAGTTTTCTTTTCAACGGGTGTTGAACAGCTGAAACTGTGAACATGTGTTCGAGAAGAGTCTACCAACATAAAAAAAACGTCTGTTGGCTTCCGAAGACTTCCATAAGTATATATAAGCACTACCAATAGGCAGAGGAGGCTAGTCTAGTTGAAAGTGTGGTATGAATGGAGCTAATAAGGCGATATACACGTAGTATTAGTCTGAAGTTCAGTTAAAGTTATTGTGTTGTATTGACAGTGTGGTCAATTGTTGTTGAACCCATGGGGAAATGTAACACTATTTGCAAATACTCGAGATGTGTTTCTCCCACTTTATGCATCCATCATTATTAGTTTGCAACCGATTCTGACAAAGGAATGATTATGCTGCGATTATGCCTTGCGATTTCATTAACAATTTTCTCTCTGGTGCAAATGACGCGAGAATGGTCTTGAATAAATTCATCTACATCTTTAATTTTTTCGCCAGGTGAGGGAGTTCAACAAGGTATGCTGAAAATGTTGGAAGGGACAGTGGTGAATGTTCCAGAAAGGAATTCTCCCAGAAAACTCAGAGGAGAGACTATTCAAGTGGATACAACAAACATTCTTTTCGTGGCCAGCGGTGCCTACAACGGTCTGGAAAGATTGATTCAGAGGAGGAATAATGAAAACGTGAGATTCTTATTCGAACAGAGTAATAGTGTTATTGAAAATTATCTTTTTGTAGTACCTGGGTTTCGGAGCTCCTGTCTCGGAAGGAAAAGGAAGACGAGCTGTAGCTCAAGAAGCAACCCTACATCAGTCCTCTCAGAGTGCCGAAGAGGAAAATGCCGAAAAAGATGCTGCCCTCAAACAAGTTCAAGCTAGAGATCTCATAGACTTTGGAATGATACCTGTAAGTTTCCCTTAGGTAGTCATACTTATTTGTATTGAAATTTGTTTGTTTGACCAGGAATTTGTGGGGAGGTTTCCTGTTCTTGTTCCGTTCCATTCTTTAGACCAGAACATGTTGGTGAGAATCCTAACTGAACCTAAAAATGCTTTGCTTCCTCAATATAAGAGGCTATTGATTATGGATCAGTGTAACCTTACTTTCACTCCTGATGCCCTGAATGCCATAGCGCAACTAGCAATGGAAAGGAAGACCGGAGCTAGAGGATTGAGGGCGATAATGGTATGTTCTTTCACTATAGAGTTTTTATATTCAGACTTTTGGTTTTCTTATTTTTCATCCGCTACAACTAGTATCTACTAATGCTTGTTTGCACCGTTCCTCTTATGGAAATTGGCAATTTTTTATAAAATACAGTATGTATGTATTTACAAGAATAAATCCATATGAAAATAACAATCGCACTGCACGGAAAGCAGTGAATTTATCATTAATCATCCCTAAATCCACACTGATCAAAGACTCGATAACTTACGTCGGTGTCAAAATGTATAATAAACTTCCTGAAGTCATAAAGAACATGGATTATCTTGAAACTTTTAGGAAAAAGTTACATGAAAGACTGGCATCTAAAGCCTATTACAATCTGACAGAATATTTTAATGAGGAGACAATATGAAATTGACGGCGCTTATACGTGATAATATATGTGTACTTTTACCTAGGTGTGATTAATTATATGTATTATTTTCATTTAATTAGGTAATTGTATATTTATTTGGATGTAGTTATTTACATGTTCTCTTTTTACCAGTGTTTGTCAATAAGGTCCTGTATCTTGGATAATAAACACATACTCTCTCATACATATTCTAAAACACTTTATTGTGAGATTTTCACTAGACAGTTTTACAAAAACATTCTCTCTCTGTCCTTTATCTCTCTCTCTCCTTCCCTCTCCTCTCTCCTTCCCTCTCCTCTCTCCTTCAATCTCCTCTCTCTCCTCTCTCTCTCTCTCTCCTTCCCTCTCCTCTCTCTCTCTCTCCTTCTCTCTCTCCTTCTCTCTTTCTCTCTCTCCTTCTCTCTCTCTCTCCTTCTCTCTCTCTCTCCTTCTCTCTCTCTCTCTCTCTCACATCTCCCCCTCTCCTTCTCTCTCTCTCTCTCTCTCTCACATCTCCCCCTCTCCTTCTCTCTCTCTCTCTCTCATCTCCCTCTCTCTTTCTCTCGTCTCTCTCCCCCTCCCTCTCTCTCTTTCTCTCTCTTTCTCTCTATATATATCTCTCCCTCCCTCCCCCTTCTCTCTCTACTTCTCTCCTCTCTCTCTTTCTCCCCTCTCTCCCTCTCCTTTCTCTCACCCTGTATCTCTCCTTCTCTCTCTCACCCTGTATCTCTCCTCCTCTCTCTCTCTCCTTCTCTCTCTCTCTCTCTCCTCTCCCTCTCTCCTTCTCTCTCCTCTATCTCCTTCGCTCTCTCTCCTCTCTCTCTCTCTACCTTTCATTAGAAGACTCTGTAATGTTCTGGGAATCATCTCCTGCTTGTTTCATCAAATTTTTTATAATCACTTTGAAAAGTGGGTGATAATTTTAGGTTATATGCTTACTGTCAACAGTATATATCTATCGCACACTAAACGCTGAGTCATGCCAAGAGAGAGGAGAGAAGCCTCTGTACGACGGCAGAGGAGGAGCCTGCCTACCGCTGCTGTACGCGTGAGAGAAAGGGAAGCCATACAGACTGGCGCCGTGACGCGTTACGTAACGAAGCGGTTTACCCCCCCCATAAGAAGTTATCACTTCAAAATGTAGGAAACTTCAGAAGATTGAAAGGTAGTAATTAACTTTGTGACGCCCTCAGACGGTACGGAGATCTCAGGCGCCAGCCTTGTGAGTTTCATGTGGCACAAGGCACCACTACACCGGGCAGGTACAGTGACGAAACGATAATCCAGGGGTCTGTGTAAACTAGACAAAATCGGTAGCCAGAAAGTGAGCTTTCACTTGACTTCGCTGGGAATTTAACCTGTTTACCAGCTGCAAATATGTTTCACCATTCTAAGAAAGAAAACAAACAAATCGGTTTCAATCCTTCATTTCAAACCAAGTTAACTGTACTATATGGTCGCTAACTAATTACAGGGACGGATGGGTGTACAACGAAGTGAGTACAGAAACAAAACGAACAGCAGGGGTTTAAAATAAGCTAAGCGATGCCAACGGTATATAGGAAATGCAATCAACCACGATTAATGAAGCAAGTGGGTATAAGAAGCTCTGTGCAATTCACCTCACCTATATTCTTTAACACCGTATAAATATAGGAATTATGGATGACGCTTTGAATTCTGCACGCGCGATCCTTAAGTTTTGACAGCGACGAGGATAGCTGACAGAAGTACCACTAAACACGAAAAGGATAGCCCACAGAGGCCTGGAAACGCGAAGAGTAGTTTCTATAACAACTTGTCTGAAGACTATATCAAGGAGAGATACATACATATAAGAAAATGAAAATTTCCATCTCTCCCAACTACCTACACAATAAGTTCTGGTAAATGCTGCTGAAAACAACTACTTCCTCGGCTAATACCATGCTGGATATTGATATTGTCCTAAGAAAAAGATCTTGTCGACAAACGTTTTTGAACATTGTCTTCTGTAACTCTACACTCTTCTGCCAGCGATGCTTCCATCTCTGTAACCCGTCCAAATAGTACTCGGCGTTTTTCTCTACAAAATAATTGTTCACGAAGGTGATTGCCTCTCAATTCGACGAAAATATCTGTCCGCCGAGTGCAATTTTAGATGAGGGAACAATAAGAAGTCGCTTGGTGCTAGATCTGGTGAGTAAGACGGATGGTCAAGCAGTTCAAACCGTAATTCGTGGATTTCGCCATGGCAACCAAAGAGGTGGGAGACTGCCTTGTCTTGGTGAAACAGGATTTTCTTTTTCTGCAAATGTGGCCGTTTACCGGAAGTTCTGCCTTCAGCTTGACAAGTAATGATGCGTATTTATTGCGCGGACAGCTTCCTCATGTCTAGTATGTGACCACCACATTCTTTTGACATGTTCATAACCTCTGCTATCTCCTTTACTTTAATTCAGCGGTTTTCCGGCACCATTTGGTGAACTTTGGCGATGTTTTCGTCCGTAGTTACAGTTTTAGGACGTCCCAAATTTTCATCATCTCCCATGCTATTACGACCACGTTAAAATTCTGCTACCCAAAATTACACTGTGTTAAATGATGGCGCAGAGTCCACATACACAGAATCCAAATCATCTTTGATTTGCGAAGGTGTATTGCCTTTCAAAAACACTCACATCAACTAACTCAAACAACTGTTACATAGCAACTGCGCGTCCAAAATGGCCGAAACTTTTGTGTGTAACTGTCAACAGATGAATAACGAAATTCCCTAGCTTTCATATACGAGTGCTGCTATCTTCATGTTGAGGTCGGAAACTTCTCAGATCACCCTCGTATATGGGATGTTTCTTTCCTGCTTGAGGCTTTTCTCACAAGATGGAGCTATTACCTGTCAATAATATTTCTCTTAGACGAAGATTTCATACGTGTTTTAGTACAAAGAAAACGAACGTACTTATCTTTAGCACCTTCTGTGATGATTTGATCCTAAACGGACAAACTTTAGAAAATAAAAATAATTCAAAATTCCTAGGAATATTTATTGATGACGAACTGAAATTTTATCTGCATATTAGAGCATTGATAAAAAACTAGCGGCGGGATGTTATGCTCTTAAGAGTTGTCTCAAATGAACTGAGCAAATCTACAGCTAAAATGGTTTACTCTATGATTGAGGCTCATTCGAGATATGGAATTGCCTTTTGGGGATTTTGTAGTCAACAATTACTACAATCAGTGTTCGTCCTATAAAATAGGGCAGTTATTCTAGAGTCTGTGTGTCAAAAACTTTGATACAGTTGATATCCCAAAACCAAGCAGTCAAATGAAATATGTCACAAGGCAAATATTGGAAAATAAAATACCTCTCCCTATTCCGAAATCTACTTTGACAAAGGACTCTCTGATTTATGAAAGCAAAAAATATGGAATCACGTACCCTCCAACATCAGAAATTAGAAAATTTATTACAAATTCAGAAAAATAATGGAAGAAGCTCTACTCAAAGAAGCATTTTATAATATCGAGGAATTTTACAGTGAAACTCTGCTGTGATTTTTTGGTTAATTTTTTTTTATATTCCCACTCATTTCATCTATATTTGACATATTTTCATTTTTCAACTGGTTAGTATAGGATTGTTCTACTTTTGTAAATATTTTGTGAATTTAAAAAAGCACTTAACATTTTTTTTTCTAACATGCTTTGTCAATAAGAACTTGCTTTCTTTCTCTCTCTCATGCAGTCGAGTGGCGTCGAAATTAATCAAGTCCCATGCACTTTGCTGTTTGGGTCAGATCTTTCCTGCACTGATGAGAGGTGATAACTCGAAACAGTTCTGTAGGTGATCTACTCATAATTTCAGCATGGTCCTGCAGCTGGATTAACAAGAAACATCTGTGAGACTGATCGCTGTGAAGTAACTTGCATAAATGTCTGTCGGATATAATTCAATGTCCATCGTGGTATTGGCCGGGGAAGTAGTTATTTTTCGGCAGGCATTTATTCAATATGGAAATACTTGATAATTTTCTAAAATGGAAAATTTCTGTATAATTACTCATATACCACCTCCGTGGTTGCGATTCATTATTCAACTGACTACGTTATTTTCCAGGAATCTCTACTATTAGAGCCTATGTTTGAAGTTCCTGGTGCAAGCATTTCTGAGGTGCACGTAACTGAAGACTATGTGAGAGGTAATGGTTCTCCAATTTACGTCAAGAATACAGATACATCAAATCCCGAAACCAACGAAGAAGATGAGCTCAATACGTCTATTAGATTAAAACAGTGATACGGGTGTAGAAAAATTAAAACGTGATGTGATGCTCTAATACTAGGCTGTTTTGCTTCCTTTGACTTATCCAGATTGGGCGAATGAAATGATAATAGCAAAATATTTAAAAAAAGGAAAAATTCTTGATATGTCGAAAGGGAATATAGTTTTAATAAATAACCGAAATTTATATAGGGCGAGTGAAAATTTATTTATGACATTACGTGTTTTTTCTTAAGTTTTAAGGTAGTTCCTAAATGATTTTAAAAAGTCATTGCAGAATGATCTCGAAGGCTAGGATTTTTTATCAAGTGAAATCAGTTGTGAATAAAGTCTCGGATTTCTTCATCGATTTCTACAAGAACTATAAGCCTTTCCGATCATTTTCTGATACATTATAAAAATGAAAATATTTGATGTGTTGATAGCTGTAGATTTGGTAAAGATAAAAGGAAGTCAAAAATGGAATTGAAAGAGCTTGAAAAGTAAATCGATGGGCGTTTTGGAAATAATTTAGTAACTTTTCAAATATAAATTCTAAAATGCCACATAAAAGTAAAGGTACTATGCAGTTTCTAGATCTAAATCCCACGATTTTTCTTTTGGTGTTTTATTTTTGCGAAATTCCGGACCTCCAAGTGAAACCTTGTGGAACACCTAACTCGTCAGTGTGGAGTAGAGGAAAATCGAAAAAGAAAATCAAACAAAAATGGCGCAACATGCCAGAAGGGCACTAAGTTGTATATTCGTTAATAATAGATTGATGAGTGCAGCACGTCAAAGGAAAGGGAAAGGAATGCAGAATGTATCGACAAAGAAAAAAATGGCGCAACATGTCAGGAGGGCGCAAAACCGCATCTTTGTAGATACATTCTGCATTCCTTTTCCTTTCATTTGACGTGTCCTTTTGGAATGTCGCCATCTTTGATTTTTCTTTGCTCCTCACTGACGTCATCACATTCCCTCTCATACACACATATTGAAAAGTATGATTTATACACACATCATACCTACCTTGGGATGGGTATTCTACAAGATTCCTCTCGGAGGTCTGAAATTTTGTTAACTGAAGCACCATAAGGAAAAGCATTAGATTTTGAGCTAGAAACAGCGTAGTACCTCTACTTATGAATATTCCCAGGTCACTATTCCTTCTGGGGAGTTTTTTTTTTGATAAATGTTTACATTTACAAGTGGTCCCAAAGAAAATACACATATACAGTTCCAAATCACTTGGAAACCAGAGCTCAAACGCAACACCAAACACCGCTGTTTCGACCCGCCATTGGTCTCATCAGTGATGCTAGGCTGAAATACAATGGCATATAAACCATGCCCCCTCCTGGGTTGAGTGCCCCGAGATAAAATCATCACCACACTGTTACTATGTGCGGTGATACATTATAAAATGAAAATATTTGATGTGTTGATAGCTGTAGATTTGGTAAAGATAAAAGGAAGTCAAAAATGGAATTGAAAGAACTTGAAAAGTAAATCGATGGGCGTTTTGGAAATTCTAAAATGCCACATAAAAGTAAAGGTACTATGCCATTTCTAGCTCAAAATCCCATGATTTTTCTTTTGGTGTTTTATTTTTGCGAAATTTCGGACCTCCAAGTGAAACCTTGTGGAGGTCCAGGAGGTCATCAGTGGTCTGAAGTCTTCTTCTTCTGACCTGAAAGACCACTCACTATAGGAACTAATCACCTTCGATAAGAAGCTGGGTTTATATGATCGAGTGTGAGCCACAATAAACCCTTGCGGGTTGCGGTGGATAATTGAATAGGCCCACTCACTTAGGACCTAACCTGATAATTTGTAAAACCTGACACTACTGTGTGTAGTGTGCTCATGGTGGTTCCCCGTGTTTAGCTGGAGACAAGTGCTGTGTGTCGCGAACTAACGTGTGTCGCAATCGGTTTCTGTGTGTGTGTATCTGTGAAAAAAATTTATACTTACCAGAGGCGCCAGAGGGCGACTCTGAGGTCGTGCCTGGTTCTGTTTTGTCGGCCTCTTGTGCTTGTCTCTCTAGCGCAATCTGGGGTCCCTGGTCGGTCGGTAGTCAAGCGGTTCGGCGTGGGTGCTTTGTTCACTCACTCGAATTGACTGCCGTGTTGGTTGGTGGTTCAAGCCCTAGTCTGAACGATCGATCTTCACTTGCTATCGTCCAACCCGTGTTAGGAATCACACGTTAAAAGGTAAGACCTCGTTAGTCCTTAGCTCGCACAAGTTTCGACTTCTGAGGGTTGTCGTTCGTAGGGGTGCGGCAGCTGGTTAATGGAAAAACAGATTTTAAACAGATTTTCGGCATGGTTCCTCATGAGTACATCCACGTTCTAGGTGCTAAGATCCAGGTCCCAATAAATGAACCGCTTGGGTATGTTTCTGGGAGCGGTTATGCCCGCCTGCAAGCAGGTGTTCATAAACGTTTGGATTTGGTGTCTGTTTGTTTCTGTGCACTGGCCTCAGGCAGTGGATTCATACAGGATGATGGGGAGTAGGATGGTCTTGATTAGTAGCAGTTTCACTAGGCGATTCATGTTACTCCTGCATCCGATGATGACGTAGAGGTTGTAACGAGTGGCTTTCGCCAGCCCTAACCTCTGTTGTATATGGTAGTTGAGTATTAGTTTCCTGTCGAGGGTGACTTGCTTCATTTGTCCACTGAATCTCCTGTCCGTTGAAGACGACGTGCCATTCCAGAAGTACCTTCCCCCGGGTGAAAAGCATCGCACGACTTTTCAGGGTTGATTCTGATCTTCCAGAGGTTGGCCTACTCCTCTAATCTGTCTGCTTGTTGTTGCAGGTATCCTGTAACTTTCACGTGGTTAGTGGATCTGTCTTCCGCATAGAATTTCACTTGTTGAAGTTGTTCTCTGGCCAAGGCATGTCAGCTGTGTACACCTAGAAGAGATTTGAGGATACAACTGCGCCTTGTGGGACTCCTGCTTCCAGAAGTCGCCTGGTGGAAAGTTCTTGTCCTTTTTTTGTCCCTTGGGAACAGTCTGACTTGTCAATTTAGTCCAAGTCTCCAGAAAATACTACAGCCTCTTGGACCTATTGCGTTTATTCTCCCATCTTCTCATGGCACCCATTCCATTAGTCTCGTTCTCTGTACTAGTTTGTACAGGTTCCGTGTTGGATGTACGTCTATATATTGCCTGCCTCCTGTGATTCAGTGCCTCACATTCGCATAAGATTTGTAGAGCTGTTTCAATCCCTTCGTTGCATAATCTGCAGTTGAGGTCTCGGTTGTACAGTCCCATTTTATTCAGGTGTCCTCTAAGCGGACAATGACCGGTTAGTAACCCTGTAATTATTCTGAGCCAATCCCTACTATATTGAAGTAGTTCTTTGGTTCTTTTCTCGGACGGTTCCCTAATGAAGGTTCTACTGTGTTTGTTGCCAGGTACTTTTGTCCAGTACTATGTGTGCTTCTTATTGGCCCATGTCCTAATCTGGTTTCTTACCAATGATTTTGGTACCCCCAGAGCTGGTTCAGGACCTATATATGAAGTTGATGATCCGTGTCTAGCGCTTTCATAAGCTTTATCATTACCTGTGATTCCTGAATGCCCTGGCACCCAGTACAAAGGTAATTTGTTCCTGTTTGCAAGTTCATTCAGCTCTTCGTGGCATTCCCAGACCAGTTTTGATGTAACTTTCGGGTTTGTCAGAGCCCCTAGTGCGCTCTTGCTGTCTGTTAGGATAATCATCCGCTCATTTCTTTGAGGTCTCAATTTAATGAGCTTTGCACACTGCAAGATAGCATACAATTCCGCCTGAAAGACGCTCCCGTTCCATGTTTGGTCTTCGAATCATCTGTATACCAGGTGTTTTTTCCAAACATGTTTTCGGGATGACTATTAGTCTTATGATTTTGGCTGTGAAGTTTGTGTTAAAGGTGTACTTCGGTGTCATGTGGTCTGTGCACATATTCAATATGTGCTCCTCCACATGTTCCGAAATTTCTGTTCGGTCCGATCTTTTGTAGTTCGGTGAGTTTTCCAGTCTGACTTTGCCCATCCTGGCCTCCCCCATTATCATAAAGTGTAAAGGAGGTAGATTTAGGAGTGTCTTCAATACAGCTGTTGGGGTAGTTCTCATTGCTCCCGTCATTCCCAAACATGCAAGTCTTTGTACCTTGCCTAGTTTGTTGATAGCGGTCGCCTGCTTCATTTTTGGCCACCAGACCAGAGATGCGTATGTTGACATGGGTTCAACCCATGCATAGCCAATATACCATGTCTGGTTTTAGCCCCCATGTTTTTCCATAGGTGCGTCTGGCAAGCATCAGTGCTACTTCCGCTTTCCTTTTTATCCTGTCCAAGTATTGGTTCCAGGTCAGTTTGGGATCTAGAATTACTCCCAGATATTTAACCTCCCCGGCCCTTGTTTTTTTTTCCCTTGGAGTTTTTGGGGTTCCAGACCCCCCGTTTTAGTCCTCTTGGTGAATGCTACTATGATCGACTTGGATGGGGTTATGTTAACCCCTTCTTCTTACGCCATCTTGTTATAATATTCAGGGTCTGCTGTATGCATCTCTTCACTACATTATTATATTTACCCTGGACTAAGATGACTAAGTCGTCTGCATGGCCCAGTGCTATATATCCATTGTGTGGTCCTGGAGACATAATAGCTCGTCCATTACAAGGTTCCATAACAGAGGGAATAACCCCCCCCCCGAGGACAGCCCCTCGCTACCCGTGCCACGACTGTTTCCTCCATAATGGTTGAATATATACCAATCTTCCCTGAGTTCTTGTCCTACCAGCTTGACTTCACAACTAACTGCCTTTAGGAGCCTTGTTTATCTTTGATATTCAAGGATTGAGTTCTCTACTGTCGAGATACAGTACAGAAAGTTTGTGTTGTTGAGGCAATAAATAACTGATATTTTCTCGGAAGCGAAGAGTTCTCTGCGTGAATCCCCTTGGTTTAACCTTACAGAGGCATCTGGCGATAATATCAATACGGAAGACTTTAAAAATCAGTTTTTCCGTTAACCAACTGTCGCCCCCTATGAACGACAATTTTCAAAAGTTGAAACTTGTGCGATCTAAGGACTAATTCGAGTTTGAAATTAAACAAATATTCTAATTAAAATTTTATTGTTGATAGAATTTGTAAACAGAACACAGAAGTGTGTAGAAAACATCAAAATATATCTAAATACATTTTTAGATTCACATTCAGTAGGTGATACGTATGCTAAATTTAAAAAAAATGTCATGAGTCGAAAGAAAAGTATTCGAAATAATTGAAACTTTTTTGTAACACAATAACTGGTGAAGAATAAAATGGCTTTTGTTTTCTTGTGCCCTTTATGGTGAAGTGAAATATTGCTATATTGAAGACTTTGTATAAATATGTAAATATATTTTTGTTTAAGTACCTTAATATACTTTATTAATATCGCCTTTGATAATGCAAGCAAGAATATCTTTGATATTAAACCTATTTTAAAAAAATATTTATTGTGACTGCACTTAAATTAAGACTAGTAACAATCATTTCACTACACAACTAAAATAATATATAACTAAGAACATATAATTTTAAATAAATACACAATACTACACATTTCAAATATCTTAGAAGTATGATCTGGTTTTGTTTCAGTGAAATGCCAAAATGTAGACAACTACTTTTTGTAATTGGTCATGAAATGAATTTGATGAAATTGTCTACATTCTGCCACCAAAAATTTACAAATGATTTCGGGGTCCTGATGTGTAAATTTTATTAAAGTCATCTTTTGAACAAATACTATACAGATAATACAATCAGTTTCCAAATAAATCACTCATTTCTAAATTATTTCAACTGCCAACAAATCGCTCCATACGTGAGACGTATGAGGCAAGTCAACTCAAGCACCAGTTACATATCAAAATTGATTCTAGATACTGGTAAAAGTCTTGAAAACTTTTCGAAATTAAACAACATATTTTTGAGGAAGTACCGATGGAGAGAGGGTCAATGGTAAAAAAAGGTGTTTTAATTTAATCTGACGTTTCGGTTTTTCATCAAACCTTATTCATGGGTGCTTGGGTCGTATTGATTTAAGTCATAAATAAATAAACATTGCACATATTGGATACCTTCTAATAATAATAATTGACCACTCTCAGAACAACAGAACATTTAATGAATGAAGTATATGTTCGTAAAAGTTATCCAATATGCAATGTATATTTATTTCCGACTGATATCAATAGGACCTAAGCACTCATGAATATGGTTTAATGAAACACTAAAAGTAGAGTTAGATTAAAATACTTCTGATTACCACTTACCCTCTCTCTACCAGGACATCCTTGAAAATTGAAATTAGGTAACAAAAACATCAATAAACACGATAGTTCTGGTTATGATAAGATTATCACCCAAATATCTCTTGATGACACACTAAAGTAACGATGAATTCATTTTCTGCGTAACTATGAATGCATATGAAAAATCCTGAAACAGGTGAATATTTGTATGTGAAAATACACTTTCACAATGTAATTATTCAAGTGACGGTTCAACCCCCTAAGATTATTAGCTCCCCCTGTAGAAAATTTAAATAAAAATGGGGAGTGTGTAATACCAAGTTTTCAGCAATATATAGCACTTTTTATACACGATTGACTAGTCTATTAGTTACCAATGTTAGTTGTTGACAAGAAAACTAATAGACTAGTCAATCGTGACAGTTATTTGGCTTGAGAGTTGTTTGTTTATATGAAATAAAATTGATTCTTTCTTGATCATCCAAGTCTAAGAATATCAAAAAGTGTCATATAGCTGAATAGAGAATTGAAAACCCTTTTGTACCCGGTATTACATCGTACTTAGTTTCATATCGAATTTTCACAGGGGCAGCTGCTTTGGGAGGTTGAATAATTTAAATAATTTTATTGAGAGAGTATTTTCATGTATGAGAATTGACCTGTTTCAAGAGTTTTTATTTGCGTTCATATTCACGTAGAAAATCAATTTATCCGTTACTTTAGGACCTCACAGTATATAATGAATAATGCTTTTGATGCACGATCATCGTGAGTAGGTACGCCAATTTCATCAATGATATAATTTCACATTGCGAAGAAGTTTCATATAATTATGTTATTGCGGACTAGAATAAGATTGCCATGAACGTGAATGTCAAAATTAATTGATAAGTCTTCACAGATATAAAATGACTAAGTTGTGTCATAAAATAGCCAAGCAAGATTTCTGTTAACTATTTCCAAATCTTTGATTTGGAATTTTTCCGATATTTTCGGTACTGCACTTAACTCTTTTGTTATTTTTAGAAAATTTCGTATTTTCAAAATACAATTTACAAATAGCACGGTTATTTTTAGTCATCAAACAACTGAAATGCCAACAAAATCGAAAAATCCTAATTGTAAATTAATTGTTGAAAATCATAAAATTGATTAAAAAATTGAATGCCAGAATATTGAATAATAGTAAAGTTGGAAATATCACAATAATCAAAGTATAGATTATATATATTTTTTCAGAGCTCTGTTTTATATAGTTTTGGTTTTGACTTTACGTAAGTGGTTTTTGGTTTTTATCTTTTTCTTTTTCATAGCTGTTTATTTTTTGCGTTATTTTCGTGTTCGGCTTGTATGTGATGTTGATATTCAATGGCTGGAAGATGTTTGTTAGTTTTTTGGTTTGGTATCCTACGTACGTAATTGCTGTCCATCGTTGTGTTGTTTTGTCTGTTGGGTTGGCTTGATCCTTGTTCTGTATTTTTTGTTTCTGATCCAAAGGTACGATGAACACAAAAAGGCATATAAACAAAAAATACAGAACAAGGATCAAGCCAACCCAACAGACAAAACAACACAACGATGGACAGCAATTACGTACGTAGGACACCAAACCAAAAAACTAACAAACATCTTCAACATCATCATCAACATCAACATCACATAAAGCCAAACACGAAAATAAGGCAAGAAAAAGCTATGAAAAAGAAGAAGAAGACAAATGAATATGTCTGACAGAGACGACATAGAACGACAAAACACAAGATTTCATTGAAATGTGTGCAGAAGCAAGCACAGAACATTAAGAAGTTGACCTAATAAATGTAAAATTGAATTGTTTCATGCTGCATGACATGGAATGGCAAAAGCAATATTTCAACTTTTGGAAGATAATGTTAATGCTAATGGTAATTAAGGCTGCATGTTTCCATCTACAAAAGGAGATTTTGCTAATTTTCATAGTCTATATCTTAAATTCACCATCTATTGGTCCATTCGAAATTTTCTGTTGAATTAAAGAGGTGCAGGAATGCAAGAGTGACTGATAATTTTGACATTCAAAATGATAGCATTCTTATGCTAGTATAGAATAATACTCACTTCTCTTGAATTTATGTAAAACAAGCCCCAAAAACAAAGATGTGCTTGGAAGTGCATTGCCATTTTGACTTCTCTCACCTCTTTTTTATTGAAATATCTTTTTGTCAATTGTTCAATCAATCTCTTTGATGTTACAGATTATTAACTTTTGGAAAATTTTGTCAATTCTGAATTATGAAGTCACTTTCGATTTTTCTTTGGGTCAAAAATAGTTGGCCTTACAGAAATAGTCTAGAAATTTGAATATAACCATTAGTTTCGGCAAGACAATATTTCGTTAAACAATAAGAAGTAGATTATTGATTATACATACTGATTATGGAATTATATCCATTAATACCATGTCATGATGTCTCTTAATGAATAATTTTGGTGAATTTATAAATAAATATAGTATAATATCTGTCATGTGGTAGATATATGAATTCAGTCAGTTAATATCCTAATTATTTAAGCAAATTATTTCGTAAAACCTAAGAGAATTCTTTGAACTTGAGTGTAAATTTAAACTTTTTAAGTTAGAAGGTACTTAAAGAGAGTTGCTCTTAGGACAATTTTAGAAATTTTATATGTTCCAGTGCAAAAATATTCTATTTCTAAATATTCATGCAACAATAACGTAAATCAAGATATGTTATATCTTTCATATGTACACGCCATTTTTATTATCAACCTCAATAAACAATTTTGAGCATATTCGAAATAATATTGCTACTAATTTTGAATCGTAGAGAATTACTAAAAGGTGAACAATTAACGTTAATGTTCTCAAGTGCTACTCAAATTCTGACGAATATGTCTGTCCTTTTATCAATGCATTATGATTCATTTCGTGCTGAAGAAAAAATCTTTTTCTATATATCTAAGTAACATAAACGGAAACTTTAAAAAAAATTCACAAATACCTACATAATACAAAACAATCACATATAAATCACAAGTAGAAGGACTAAAGATCTCCATTCTCGATGGCTTTATTGAGATCACTCACAACTCTGCCGAGTGCTTCTCTGTACTCTGAATCCCTTTTGAACATTGCATCCAGGAATTGATCATTTCCGAAGAATGAGAAGACACTTTCAATTCGTGAAAGAGACTTGTCTGTCAAATGTTTTGATACTATAATTTCAAGGCACTTCTGGCTTTCATTTAGGGCTTGTACAATATAATTGCGGTCATAGCTGAAATCAACCTCATAAAATGAAATGATGGCCATTCCTGCAATACGAAATTTCGCTTTGAACTTTTCCGCTTGTTTTATCTCTTCTTCTGACAACATATTGTTTCGATGCAAAACACCCAGTTTTATCACCACTTTTATGATGTTCTTGATTAATTTTTCAGCTTCTTTCTTGTTGTTTGACTGAAAAAAAACACAGCATTAAACACTTTTACTTGACTTTCGTCCTATTTCGAAGCTCGTTAGGAAAATATATTTTCTGCCATCAAGTGACATCTTTTTTAATAAGGAAGAGTTCAAAAGTTTCAAGGAAGTAACCGATCTCTTTGTATACGAATCAATAAGTAAGGTTCAAAGTGAACAACTAAGTAATTGAACATAACAAAAATCTTCAATATTTGTATAGTCTCAATAAAATAGAAACCAATATCTTAGAACTTTAAAGATTTATTCATTTATATACACGGGAAAGCCCAATTCAGATATAAGTAGTACAGTGCTATGTAGTATTTAATGCAATACAGTAAGTTATAAGAATAATACAATTTCGAATTAAGATTAAGGATTATTTAAGAAAAATTAAAGTGTTATACAGTGGTCCAACGAAAAGTATGCACTTTGCTTTTCTCCTTTTTTTGTAGTTTAACGCGAAAATGCTCGAACAGGTCAATTTTGCTTTTGAGGGGGACACATTTAAGATGTATTTTTCTACCTGTGCCTTCAACCCCCTAGCGAGGGTGAGTAACAACCCTAAAATTTTAAATAGAAAGTGGGGTCGAGTGATATATCATTTGAAAGGGCACAAAATTTAAAATACATCTAAAATGTGTCCCCCTCAAAAGCAAAATTGACCTGTCCGAGCATTTTTGCGTTAAGTTACAAAAAAAGGAGAAAAGCAAGGTGCATACTTTTCGTTGGACCACTTTGTATAACTCTTACAGGCAAGTTACACTAGACACAATACAACAACACAAGCAGAGAGTATTAGATGGCTAGGTGAAGAATATGGTTTTTGAAGCGGGAAACTGATATATTATAGATTTGAAGGTTATTTAAAGAGTTAGCCAATCGAAGAGTTCTGGTAATGAAGCTGTTATAATATGAATAATTGAATCTGTGAAAAGAAACGTAAAACGTTTGTATCTGTCTAGTTGAACGACTGGGACATGTAAAGATATTTTGGAGAGGAGCTTGGGGCCGATACTCAGTCCGTTGATAATTTTGAATAGAAGTATAAAATCTCTATGTTTTCTGCGAGCCTAAAGAGAAGGTATGTTCAAAATGCATTCCAAAGCAGTATAGTCATAGTATACACGCATCTTGAAGGCAATATATCGCAGGAAATTGTGCTGTACGGCCTCGAGTTTCACTTTTTGTGTAACGTAATGAGGGGACCAAACTGTGGAACAATAATCGAGATGAGATCTAACCAGGAAAAAATAAAGAGATTTATTAGCAGGGATGTTAGTGAAATCACGAGTGGTTCTCTTTATAAAGCCAATCCATCCTCATAGATTTTTGAATTACAGCGGAAATGTGTGATTTATAGCCAAGTATGGAGTCTAGGATCACACCTAGATCTTTGGTTTCAATAGCAGAATGTGAAGTCCGATTATTTATACTATATTCGAAAGTTATTGGGTGATGTGTTCGATGAAAGCCAAGAATTTGGCACTTGGATCTATATCGTTTTGTAGACACATGTATCAGCTTCACTTTTAATCATTTTAAAACATTTTAAATCGTCGGCAAATAGCAAAGCTTCGCTTTCATGGAAAAAGCTGATTACATCGTTGATAAAAAGGTTAAACAACAGTGGTGCCAAATGTGAACCTTGTGGAACACCCGATGTAACTGCGATGATATGAGAATAGTAATGATTAACTCTAACAATTTGTGTTCCTTCCATAAGATAGCTCTTGAGCCACTGCAATATTTGCCTATCAACATCATATAAATAAAGTTTATGTACCTATCAATAGTTCATGATTAACTTTTTCGAAAGCTTTGGAGAAATCAGTGTACACATAGTCAACTTGCAAACCCTTAGAGCATCAGACATAAAATCAACGTAGGTAATGAGTCCCAGTTCAGCTGATTTTTTGGATGTGAATTCGAATTGTTGGGTCCCNACATATGAGGTTTTCCAATGGTCCGGGAATTTGCCATATGATAGGGAATTATTAAATATGTAGAAAAGTGGTCGAGCTAAAATGAAGCTAAATGATTTAGGAAAAGTTGGAGCAATTCCATCAAGACCGGGGGGCCTTTGTTGATATCAAGTTCGGACAGTTTTTCGTACATTTTAGAGATTTCAATGTGATAATTGGACACATTAACCATGGATGTAATATTGGTATCATAAGGATGTAAAGATTGCAGTACGATTACCAAAAAATATTGTTTCCTACTTATTTGAGATAGCTCTATTGTATGACCATACAGTGATGATGAGAAAAACGTCTGAAAACACATGTATTCTAATACAAAGTTAAATTTATTATTACAATTAGGTACTACAAAAATCTATTAAAAAATCTAGAGGTCGGTCTAGAGCTCGCACTGAACATTCGTTCATATCAGATTATAGCAAATATGAAACAGTTTCGAAAGTTTCTCAGCCTTTTTTTATATCATTAGAAAAGAAGGCGGTAGAGCCAAAAAACGGATTTTTAGAGTGTCAAATCATTTGTATGTCATCAGTGACTGATGGATGTGACTGGGAAGCTGAGTTGTTTTACTTGATTGCATATAGAGAGGTAACAGAGATAGACAAATAATTTAGAAGAAATTTGTTGGAGAAATGTAATTAATGAACTTTACTTAATTGATCTATGTCACTTTTCCTTATTGAATAATAATTTCCACCATTTCTAAGAAGAGTCATTTTGTAGGACTATTTTTCAAACAGATAATTTTGGTCTCTTCGTAGTTCATGTTATGATCGAAATTTATCACATGATCTGAGAGAGCAGATGAATGTTTTGAAAGCCTACAATCACTTTTCTATCCTGTTATTCTTGTATATAATAAAGAAAATTCAATGCAGTGAAGCTGCTGGAAAATAATTTCGTGAAAATAAAATTTTCGGTTTGCTTAGAGAACACAAATACAAAAAATAAATTGGATTAATAAAACTCGAAAAGATTATTAAATTAATAAAATGTGTTTGTTGGAACTTACATATTGTTTTGCAAGACGGTATAAGTTGTCTAGTAGTGAAGACGTAGCGTCATCGATGAAAACCTTGGCGATATTCTTCCCTGCCATGCGAGAGAGAATTTTCTTCTGAGCTCTCAGCCCTATATCCCTGGCTTTGAAAGCACTTTCCATCATAACTGTAAGAATTAAAGTATACTTGAGTTTCTTACAACAATTAAATATGTACTCACTTCCAAAAGACACAAATAAATAACGAGGGAACTTCCTTCATTTTTAGTACGACTTCGACTTATATCGTGAAGTGTACATACTGATAAGATATATACAAATACTTTATCACGAAATAATTAGACAAAGTACAAAAATAAAGTTATTGTTATTGTGAGAGTACGTTTAGATAGTTTTGTGATGGAATCGGCCGAGACTTGATGAAAATCCATAACGTTTTCAAGAAACACTGTACTCAAAACAACACATGTTTAGCTATACAATAGCTTTTTCAGGAGTGTCTATACTAACCAAAGTCTACATATTCAATGCTTCAATATAATAATAATAATAAGAATTACAGAGCGATAACATGCTTGAATTCGTGTTATAAGTTGTTTACAAGCATCTTATACACACGAATACTCACCGCAGTTGACCGAGTGTTCGAACGGATATATGAGCAGAGAGGGTCGAAGAGAGGAGTCGCTGGATGTAAAGAGAACCTGCTCATCGATAGATGTGTAACGCAGGACTCGATACAATATAAGCGTAACCTCTCTATGGCCTGGATCGATTACCGTAAGGCATTTGATACAATTTCGCATGAGCTCATCTTGCATTTGCTCAGATGCCTTGCGGTACCCGACAACATAGTGAGATGCATTGAACAACTGA